TTTTTTTGCGGTACGCGGGCCTCTCACTGCTGTGGCCTCTCCCGCTGCAGAGCACAGGCTCCGGACGCGCAGGCCCACCGGCCATGGCTCACGGGCCCAGCTGCTCCGCGGCACGTGGGATCCTTCCAGACCCGGGCACGAACCCGTATTTCCTGCATCGGCAGGCTGACTCTCAACCACTGCGCCACCAGGGAAATCCTGCCTGCACATTCTTCAGTCTCTGTCAAATCCGTGCCTTCTGCTCAGCGCCTCCACCAATCTCACCCCATTGCTCCTTTCTGCATTCCCCGGATGCTGCTCAGAGCACGGAAGGCAGGAAGACCTCGGTTTGTGCGCACAGGCTTCCAGCTTTTAAAATCCTGCTCCTAGTTTTCAGCCCCCAGCTGCCCTCTGTCCTCATCTCCAGGCCCGTGTCTGCACGCCATGCCGTGCCCGGTCACACCACAGGCTGGAGCACAAGGCCTTCAAGGATCTGCTTCAGACCCAGTGAGTACATTTCCCCGTTATTGCAGATCTTGCTGCTGGAGGTGCAGGGGGTAGGGCCTGTCTGCCACCTCCTCCTGCTTGCCCTAAGACCACCTTGACCTTATGAAAATGACCAGTGGTGAACCACAAAAACTCTCAAGGGGCTGGACCAGGAAGACCTGACAGAGAAGGTGTAGAAGGGGGGTTCTGGACAAAAGTAGGATAGAAGGGGAAGGGCTATCCCAGAAGAGGGAATGGCAGTGCGATGGCACCGACGTATGAGTGGGCGTGGAGTGCGTCTGGGAGCCTCAGACCATCCGGGAACTTTCCTACACTGTAGTCTGTTCTTTTCAGTCAGTGGGGGAGTTGAGACACGCGGAAAGGTTTCTTCTGAGCTTCTTGTCTTCAACACCACTAGTTTCATGTAAAGGAATTACTTCAGTTATCCAAAAATATTGACTTAGACGTTGAGGCCTGTAGAGATGAATGAAACACAGCTTCTGTCCCAAGGGGTAGACCAGCTCGGTCCACAGCAGCTGCATAGCCCCATCCCTGGCGGAGCCAGTTCCTACAGCACAGTGACACACTCAGCGGGGCTCTGAACTGTTTTCCGCACGTGTCCAAGCCAAGGACACTGTCTTGAAATAAACATTACTAATGATTAGTGGTGTCACCTGCCTGACATGATGTCACAGTCTTTGTGTGTCTCCAGAGCCACATCACAAAATGAATTTTAGTTTATCACGATGTTCTGACCATTCATCCAACTGCTATCTTTGGAGCCCAGGAGACAGAAGGATTTATTGGCAAACACACATTGAGTCCACTAAGTGCCAGTCCCAGAGCCAGGTATGGACCCCCAAAGACAAGCAGGACAAGGTCTCTGCCCTCAAGGAGTTTGGGATTTTATGGAGGAGAGGAGAGAGCTCACCGCTAACCATGCGGCAGCGTGAGGGTGTGTAAGAGGCAGAGGGAGTTGGGAAAGGGACCGATTCCTCAAGAGGGGTGGGAGTAAGGGCATGACAGTGACAATCAGAGCTGTCCTGGATCAGCTACCCCATCTGTGCCCACCTGTGGAGAAGGCGGTTGCTCCAGGCAGAGACAACCCTGCTGGATGCACGGGAGGTGGTGCCAGCCCCCGCATTGGGGAGTGACCTACACCGAGGTTCCAGGTGTCTGCCAGCCTGGCTAGACCACATTTTCCAGGTGAAAAGTAAGGTTGACATTAGTGTCCCCAGGTAGCAGCAAGGCATGGGGGCCTCAGGAGATTGGAATTCTGAGAAAAGTAGAGAGGAATCAGGGTGCATATTGTAGACAAAGAATGTCACTTGCCATTTCAGTAAACAAAGGATGATGGTCATAAAGCCCTCAGCCACTGCAGCCCCCCAACGGTGCGCCCTGAGGGGATTCAGGATGGAGAAAGCAGGATAGGTAGTTAAGGTGCATATCAAAGGAATAATTTTAATAAGTCCAGATTCTTGCATTGACCCACACAAAGTAAAGCGCTAAAATCATTACCTTGAGATGTCTGTGTGTGTGTGTGTGTGTGTGATTAGCGGTAATCTTTTGATGTTCAACCACAGGGGGTTTTTTCCCAGCAAAAACTCCTCTATATCCTGGCCCCTCCCGTACCTCTTCAGAACAGTTCCTCAGAGCTATCTGAGAAGCTGATTCCCGGGCTATAGTCCTCAGTAAGATCATCGAATAAAATATAACTCAGTTTTTAGGTTTTGTGTTGTTTTTTTTTTTTTCAGTCGACAGTATGTTCATACACTGGCTTTGCTTTTATTTTTGAAATTGTTATTTGATGAAATTCAAGGGTAGAGCTTAAGGTGTATTTTGGATACAAATTTGCCTCATAATTTTGGAAGTGCTGATTTCCTGGGCTAAATAACATGTTCCCAAACATATGTTGTTAGTACGTTGGACTTGGCCTGGATCTCTGCCCTTCTAAATTTCTGGGGAGATCTGATATCCTTGAGGATGCTGCCCAGGGAAGCCACTGAAGACTTTGGTGGCTGGGGACAGCGGAGACAATGGGTAAGGTGAAGTGGGGCAGGGAGATTTGGGGGCCTCCAGGGCCTCCTCTCTTCCTCTCCGAACCTTTACAAAGTCAAAGGTGGGCCAGCCTTCTTTGGGTGGTGATCTTGTCCATCAGAGGAGCAGTTGTCGTCTAATTGCTCAGTTTTTATTGTCCTGACTAAAGCCTATAGCTTTGCCCAAAGATCACTTGGAGTTACATGAAAGGGAGCAAATTTTCAGCAAAGGGAGGAAATTTACTGACCCTTAGGGGTGCCAGAGCCACAGAATCCTCATGTGTGGATGGGGTGGTAGATGGAGATAGGAATTTTTTCATGTACCCCTAAGAGGACAGAATCTCCAGAAGTGGAATGACATCTGTGCAAGTTGTCCCAGGCTAGGGAAGAGAGGGAGGCTGGGTCTGCCACTTAGAGCAAAGTGACCGGGTTCAGTCACTCAACCATTCAGAGCCCTACTTTCCTATCTATAAAATGGGAACAATACAGTCTCAGCTTTTTGTGCAGAGGGAAGGATGGCGGATGTGGAAGTGCAGCGGAGGTGTGGGGGGAGTTAGTTTAGCTGCTCTGAGGTCAGGGCAGGTCTAGCTGAGCAGTGCCAAGAAGGATCTCAGGCTGTGTGTTAAAAAGCACTTCTCAGGATTTTCATAAAAGCATGATACAGGCTTTGGGTCTTTTCTCTCAAAGTCTGGGACACTTTGAACAAAATTGTGTGCTACCTTCAAAGAGCCTCTAATTTCCAGAATCAAATAAAATGTGTCCCTGCAAACTCCTGCATTTGTACTCAAAGCTTACTGCCTGCCTGTGGCTTGTCTGAAAGACTGAACATTCTCCTAATCAACTTAATCACATTTTGGATCAGAAGAGTTATTTTACCCTGGGAAGGACAGTGATACATTGAGAGACAGGCCAGGTCAGACATGTTTTGGTTTGAACAGGTTTTTTGCTGTACGTCCTGGGGCCATTTCCCTCCTGTGTAGACTGCTCCCCTGCTAGAAGGTGCCCTCTTGATGGGCAGGTAACCAAACCTTAGTCAGGCTCCTGAACCTTCTCCTAGGCCCATCTGTGCACTTTCTTATAAAATCCAGTTTTATCAAGAACCCTGCTAAGTCAGTTTAACCAGAACCTGCCCCCCACTCCATATCTGACCATCTTTGTTATCTGATGGAGTTCCT